GGTAGAAAGACTGACAGGCAAAGCCGTGGTTACTCAGACGTGGTAGCTGACCGGCACTTTCTCCTGAGGGGCGGATGGGCCTGCCTCTTCGGGTACACAACTAGCAGTATTTGCTGCTGGCGACAAAATTTAAGCTTTCAAGAAAAAACTACAAGTTTGGAAAATGTATTCGCCCATGAGCCTGACAAGACCCCACCCACAGACTCCTCTGCTGAGATCAGGGTGTCCTGACAAAGGTGCTGTCTGCGCCGGGAGTGGGATGTGCCGACACCAGACCCTGCCTGCACAGTGGCCCAGGATGTCCAAAGCACTGCCACCAGCCCACTCTGGGGGCCGAAACTGTGCTCCCAGTGCCAGGAGCTGATGGTCACGGACACGGTTTCAGAGTCCACGCTGCAAGCCGGTGTGGAGTGGGGCTGCCACGACCTGCAGAGAAGCAGCTACAACGCCCCTTCCCAGCACACATCTGTGCGTGAGGCCAGCGTGGCTCTGCCACTTCAACTAAGCCATGGCGGCAGGGGACCAGACCCCACGTCATCTGTGAAGCTAAACTTGCCACTCTTCTCACAAAGTGTTTTTTGTTTGGAAAATATTTTTTCATAAAAACGTTATTTATGTTAACCTGTAACGGCTTTCTTATTATTTTTAAAAGAATAAATATTTAAAAATTTAAGGTAACTATTGATATGACCCACAAAAATGAAACCTCTTTGGGGCCCTTGATACTTTTAAGAGCATAAAGGGCTGCTGAGCCCAAATAGGCCCAAGCCACAACTCCCATGACTGTCCCCAAGACGTTAAATGTCAGCTGTGTGATGGTTGGACATTAATTACTAAGGTTTTTGTCCTTAAAAAATGGAAAGGTTCAGTCACCTCACGACTTAAAGCTGTTCACAGACACTTTGCTATTATTTAAAGTGAGCCTCGATGAGACAAGGGAAACAGGCATCATTTTCAACCTGTGAAGAGTTCACACGGTGAGATGAGCCACGAGCGGGGCCCAAGGACACCTGGGCAGAGGACACACAGCACGTGCAGATGCAGGAGCCGCTCGGCCTCGGCCACTACAGAAGCCGGTGTATGGCGCAGAGAGGCCGTGTCTCCACGGCCGGCGTGACCTGCTGGGAATGTTGAGTTCTCTGGCTTCGGTCATGTGAGGCTTCAGAGGGGGTCCTGGGGAGACGGTGGGGTTTGGGCGTGAAGGCTCAGGCACCCAGAGGAAACGGTGACATTCTGCAGGGGGCGACAGGCCACGAGGGGCAGGCAACAGGCACGTGGGGACCTGGACGCTGGTTCTGAAACACACCTCCTCGCTGCACCTTTGCTGCCCGGGGGGACGCTGGGAGCAGCTGCTGCCCCACGATGGTGCCAAGGCAGCGCTACAGCCCGATCTGCACTCCACCTCTGCACTGTAACGCTGACGGCAGCTCTCAACATAACAGTCAGAAACTCACTTCTAGCTGGGGGCATAGAAAGACAGAGGCTTCCGTGGTCACCTTCGGGGTGTTCTGAATCGCTCCCCCTTGTGGCTGCTATCCTAGGGGAACAGCCCACATCTGCGTTGACAAGCGGGAGCTGTTGAGGCTGCTGTCGAGGGCTGGTGTACAGGACCATCTGTCCCTGACCCAAGGGCCCTGGGCCTGGGGAGTGGGGCACTAGGACAAGGTGACGGGCTTATGCCCACCTCGTGCACTTCAGAGGCTAGATGCCATGCGCCTGCCTTACCCACAGCTGCTAGTTTCCACAGAGAAGCCACATGGGCAGGGCCCATGCCCCCACCAAGCCCTCTGTCCACCGATGCTGCTGAGCAGCACTTAGAGCTTTAACACACTTACAAGGGTGTGCAAATGCCAGATAGCACCAGTGGCCCCCACTCAGCCTGAGCCCCAGGTGCTGTCCCTGGCCTGGTGGGGTTGGCAGGTGCCCTCTCAGAGTGCAGGGGTGGGGTCTGGAGGGTCTTTGTGGTGGAGGCAGCAGCAGCCAGGGGTCTGTCCAGCCACCCTCCCATCCGCTCCGCTCCCCTCCCAACTGCCCTGGAAACAGGTCACTTTTGTGGCTGTCCCTAGGGAGGACTACAAACAACTGCCTGGAGTTGAGAACAAGAATTGAAGGTTCCGTGAATGTTGGAAATATCAGCATCTTTTCCAGCAAAACGACAAGTGGATGAAGTCACACCCATCAGGAGTGAGGTTCTCTGAGTCCACGGAGAACAGAGACAAAGAGCTGTGCTGAGGAAAACCCCGACCACTCCCATCCCGAGGCCTGTCAGCGAAAGCAGTGTCTCCAGGGGCTGCCACTGCGGAGATGTGGTGGATACGGACCCCCGGGACTCTGCCCTGGAGTGCACACTGCCCACTCGAGCCACTCCATGGGGACGTGCGCTCGCCCCCACCATGGGGCCTGCAGAGGCACAAGCAGCCGCTGCTTGGGCACTTTGCACTTCTCCCTCATGATCAAAAATACAGACAGATTCTGAAAACCAGGAGCAAAAGAAGAGAGGCCCAAGGCGTCCCTGCACCCTGCCTGCCCCGCAAGACCTGCTGGAAGGAGCAAACAGGCTGGCATGGTGCCCTGCCTGTGCCACACTGAGGCACACATGGGCTGCGGGCCCGGCCTTGGACATGTCTTCTGGAAAGCCCCAGAGTGGCCAGAGTGTGAGGGAGGACCACCCCTGAGACAGGGACACTCTGTCCAGACCTCTTGGCTGGGAGGGAAACAGCCCGGGTAGTGGAGGTCCGTTTTCACAGAACGAAAACATGCCTGGTGAGTCCCAGTCTCAGGGCTGAGGAAGCAGCCAGTGTAGAGGGCACTGCCCTGAGGATGCCCTGGCAGCTAGCACCAGATCCCCTCCAGGCACTCACACTGAGCAGTCATCCAGGACAGGGGCACCACTCCAGCAGAGGGACCTCCCCAGCCAGCGCAGGGCTGTGTCCTCCAGACTACACAGAGGCCGGCCCCCAGTGCACGTGGAACATGGAGTCACACTCTGACGTGTGGACAGGTGCCCAGGAAACAGCCTTGTTCTGAGTGGGGGCTGCCAGCTACTCCCTGGCTAGGCCAGGAGGCCTCACACTTGGTTTCTGGGGGCACGTGTAAGAACAAAGCCCAGGCAGAGGCTCTGCCACCTCGACCTCTTCTAAAGGGGACACTGTCTTCTGCAGCAAACTTCAGCCCAGAACCCTTGTGCAAAGCTTATCTTCTGAAAGAGAGCTGTAGGGCACCTGACCACAAGGTGGGGGGCCAGCCCTGGAGATGAAGGCCGCTTGACCACTGGGGCATGATGGTTCTCTGGGGTGCACCAGGGCAGCCCACACATCCAACAGTCAGACCTCAGACCCACGCAGCACAGGCCCTGAGGTTGTCCTGGGGCTTTCTGCACCAGCCCGTGGCGTGCAGCGATGGAGTGCCAGCCAGCCTCCCCACAGGCAGATGGCACACTCTGGGTGAGGGGTCACCGGCAGCAGCACAGGACAGGAAGGAGTTCATAGAGGCCAGAGTGCCTCGAGTCACTGCCGCCTTCCAGGCAGCTCCTCCTGACTCATTTGAAAACCTCCCCTGCACACCAAAGTGCTCTGTCACTTTCTAGTCTCAGCCCATGGTGCCACCTCTCAGCACACAGAGCAGGGCTGCAGGAAAGCCCATGTCACCAAGCTCTCTCAGGCAGCGTCTGCACCCTGCTCAGTGGGAGGGGCAAATTCCGCCTGCAGGTTGAAGTCCCCAACCACTTCCAACAGTGAGAGAGAGCTCTATGCTGGCAGCTGTGTAAAGTGCACAAAAGTGCTCCCCCACGGATGCACGTGCATATGTGTGCACACACCTACTCATGTGTGTGCATACCCTCATATACATACACACATACACCTTGTGCACACATGTACCCACACCTGTGTGATGCCACCTGCATACTCATGCACACATCCATGCAATGCTTACACACCACAGTGCACATACCCATGCACATGTGCACACATGTTTACATGTGTACACATAACCATGCATGTTTGCACCAGTTCTGCATACATAACATGTACACCCACATGACATATGCACACACACAAATGCATATGTGGACACACTGCAAACATGCATGTACACCCATGTACTACATGTGTGTGCACAAGTAGCCCATAATCCACTCACATCCTGCACACACTCAAACCCATTCAATGCACACATGGACACACATGCACACAAGTGAGCACACCCATTCACATGCCCATGCACATGCAGAATGCACACACCCACACAGATGTGCACACATCCTGCATGCACATGTATGCACCAGATCATCTATTTTGGTGCAGTCAGAGCACATATCTGGGCAAATCACACAACCACCATTTCTAGTGCCATTGCTCTTCCCCAGCCTACACTTCTGCCTGTGCCATTTCCGGTTTGGAATGGCTCTCCAAACCCCAAGGGGAGCCCATTGGGAGGCTGGGAGCTCTACTTGATGGCCCCACGAACTCAGTTTTTAAAATACAGTAGAACCAAATGGAGGAGGGGCACTGGGTGTGTCCTGCACAGTGGGAGAGCAATAACCCCGGAAGCCTGGGGTTGAGACTCTCACCACAGGTGGAGAAAAGATGAGGACAGAATTATCATCAACACAGACAACACAGTGCATCCACACATGCACACACGTGCACACAGAAACACACAAGGCGTACATACGCAGACACACAACACACACAGACACAACACACACATCAACACAGACAACACACGTGCATCCACACATGCACACACGTGCACACAGAAACACACAAGGCGTACATGTGCACAAATGCACACACAGACATACGTGTACACAGAGGCACAACAAAGAGGCACATACAGGCACACATGTACACACAGGCACACAGCACACACACAAGTGTACACAGGGGCACAACACACAGAGGCACATACAGGCACACACACAGAGACGTGCCGATGCAATGGAGGTGAGGACATTGGAAACATTACCTGGTTTATCCAGCTAGCAGAGTATTTCTTACCTGGGGGGGAACGAGATGTCCAGTTCACACAGCCTGTCCTTAAAGACAGATAACTCTTTGTCAAATTCCAGGAGCTAAAGAAAGGAAGAAGAAAACACAGTCACTTCATGTTTCCTCACCAGCGCACGGAGATCTGTATGCAGCTGGGCCACTCATAACTTCCTGGAAACATGCACAGCTCAAGCATTCGGTGTGACATCTGCCCTACCCAGACCACCACATCACCAGAAAGACCGGTGGGTGCCCACCAGGCTCCAGTGTCCAGCTGTGGTGCTTCTGGCAGTGGAACCTGCATTGACAAGCTCTGCTCACCTGGAGACACATGCAGGGGGCCCCTTTTCTGGTGATGACCTGATACGCACCCACACCCTCGGGCCGCACTGCTGTGGACACGGCAGACTGTGGACACAGGACACCGTTGCCTCAGCAGTCCTCTCGGAGCCTCTCCTCTCTAGCGAGGGGGCGTGCCTTCTCAGCAGAAGGGACACAGCTCCTGCTGTGCCCACAGCCTAAAGTTACTCACAGAGCAAGTAATGTTGACTTTGCATGAGTAGGTCAAAGAAGTGGCCCAAGTGTGCACACAGGTGAGACTCTGGCAGCAGTGTGGGCAGGAAAGAGGCAGCAACAGCCTCAGCCCTGAGGACTCTCCGGAGACAAGCCCCGAGAGGGCATCGTGCCCCAGCCCACAGGCCGCAACTCTGAGTGGCCACCATGTGCACCCTGCGGGATATGCCTTCGCTAATCATGTTCCATCCCACAGCGGCGCCGGAGCATGGCACTGCACAGGGGCTCCCCTCAAAAGCACACCATGTCCTCACTCTGTCCTGCCAGCTCATCCATCATTCCTGAAACGTGCAATTAGCAGCCTCGTGTACGCAGTAATTACCCATGTATCAGGCTGCTACCTGCACCTCCTGTACCAGGCCCCCTGACTGTTCCTCACCAGGCCAGAACTTGGTGTGATCAGGGCCAGATCGGGGTCAGGTCACAGGGAAACAGCCAAAATCTCCACCAGAAATAGTCATGTTTATGATGTTGGCAAGTGACTGCACAACAGGACGGTAGGGACAAACCAAAGCTACCTTCTGCACACATGGGGCAACTTCAAACCCAGCTGCCTTGCTCCAGTCTGACACCCAGGACGCCCTGGACACTCACACTTGAGTCACAGCAAGCCTCAGACTCTAGCTGGTGAAGCTCAGACACAGAGGGTGGGGCCTGGAGCCCATGGGGGGGAAGACCCCAAAGGCAAACCTCACCCCCCTCCGTGCTGCCCCTCATGGCCACCAGGCTGGGGGGACCCCACAGGGGAGGCACAGGCAGCTCGATTTTCATGACACCCAATGGCCCTGCTGCCTCCACACCAAGATGAGGCTCAAGGTCCACAGCAAGGGAGAGACTCACTCCAGGGCCAGCCTCTTCAGGAACAGGCCCCAAGTCAGCCCCTCAATGTGGCAGGATGGAGCAGAAGCCTCGGAAGAGACATCCCACCTTCAAGGGCAAAGCACGTATGTGGCTCTGGACCAATCCTGCACTTACACGTGTGTCAGCATGTATGAATCTACTTGTGCATGTGCACTATGAGTGTATATGTGTCTGCTGTGCATGAGTGCATGTGTCTGTACGAGTGCACTTGCGTGTATGCACTATGAGCGTACCCGAGTGTCTGCATGTACGAGTGCACTTGCGTGTATGCACTATGAGCGTACCCGAGTGTCTGCATATACGAGTGCACTTTAGCATGCACTATGAGCGTACCCGAGTGTCTGCATGTACGAGTGCACTTTAGCGTGCACTATGAGCGTACCCGTGTGTCTACATGTACGAGTGCACTTTAGCGTGCACTATGAGCGTACCCGAGTGTCTGCATGTACGAGTGCACTTTAGCATGCACTATGAGCGTACCCGAGTGTCTGCATGTACGAGTGCACTTTAGCGTGCACTATGAGCGTACCCGTGTGTCTGTATGTATGCATATACGTATAGATACACTTACATTTACACATGGAGGCCTATTAAACGTGTCACATCTGGATCATCTGGAGCTTGAATTCATGGCCTTCCCACATCAGTGACAGAATAGTCCTGATCCCAGCGTGAGTCCCACTGGTGTCTTGGTGGAGAGATGAGGAAGGGAAGGTCTATGGGGTACCAGGCGGGGGCAGGGCCCTTGTGCTGATGTGGGTGGGCTGTGCACTAGTGGGGTACTTCAGTGGGTACTGACGTGGTTTTGGCCGCTGCGATAGATGAGAGGTGCTCACAGCGTGCTTGGCCTGTAGCTGCTGGCCTGCGTGAGATCGGGAACCAGACTTTACAAGTATCTAAGGGGAACTGCTGAGTCAGAAGGCCACAGCCGATGGGTACATTTGACAAAAAGGACCAACAGCAGCTTCCCTGACTCTCATGACACAAAGTCAAGATGGCCAGAGTGCCAGCCTTCACCATCCCCAGTGCTGTCAAATCTTCTCTTCCTGCCACATCATTCACTGAGACCTTTGAAGAAGGGAAGCCCCGTGGATACAGTGAGTCTGTGCGAGACCTCCCTGCCCCCGTCCCCAGAGGCCCGAGACCTCCCCACCCCCGCCCCCAGAGGACTGAGACCGCCCCACCTCCACCCCCAGAGGCGCAAGACCTCCCCACCCCCG